CTACCGTTTTTAAGAGTAAGGTCTATATTCATGTTGACGTATTATTCTAACCTGATGTGGTGATTGTGATAACACCCACAATGGCTACAAAAACACCGAGCACACTCAGCCTCATTCTACATGGTGCTGCCGGGGCAGCCGGAGTCGGCGGGCGGTAGAGGGGAGGGGAAAGCAGAAGGGGAGGGGGAGAGGGAGGGAAGTGGGGGAGAGGAGAAAGGGAGGGAGAACATGGTGCTGCCATGCGCCGGAGAGAAGGGGTATAAGGAGGTATAACACATTCAATAGTGAGGTGGTTAATGGAGTATTACGTCATGCTGCTATTCCGTGATTCCTCCCTACCCTGCGATGCCATAGCGAACCTGGCGATTAACACATTGACGACAGCGTGACGCGGTAACGCGTCCCACTTTGCGCACCTCGTGGGACATTGTGACGCGGTAACGCGTCCCACCCAAGTCATCCCTTTTTCTTGCGCTTGCGCGACTTATTCCTAAGGTCTTTGTACTCATTCTATAGGTCATACATTAGCATACTTAAAAACCACATGGCTCACAGAAAGGCCAAATATTCTTTAGTTTGGCAGAGGTTTTCCAGACCTTACGGATATGTCTGTTCAGTTCATTCCTCGTTTTCTTTTCATTAACGTAAACATGTTGATAAAAAGGAATAATAGAAGTGAATACAAACCTATTCGTATGGAAGATATGTGTTTTTACTGAAACAACCACGTCCAAATTAATTTTGGAACCACTAAAGGGAAAGTAAGTAAAATTTGCCTTTTCATGGCCTTAACACGTCATTTCGGTCGAACTTCCATTACTGTAACTCCCGATAAGCTAGACAGATCGAACATTATTGAAAACACTTCATCGCATCTAAGTATTGCGTATTTACAGCTCAAAATCCATGGATTTGGTGTGCGGCGGCGGCGCTCGCAAAAACGCTCTGGTCCCAGTAACCAAACCTTTAACGTAACCCCTTAGCGCCACAAGACCATCCCACGTTTGCGTCAGAGCGCGGTTGCAGTCTTCCCAGCTGGGAGGTGATCTCCGGGGTGCCGCCTCATCCGACGTGAGGCGACAGTCGACTGCGTTGGATCCTCCACCTTCTACATGAACGGCGCTTAGTACTATGCGCGGGCCTGTTCGACGCACTCTCTCTTCGTTGAGAGGGCGCAGAGAAAACGAGAAGTGGGAGGCCAGACGTAGAAAATCGATGGCACGTGACATTGCGCGCCCCAGTGCAACGTCGAGAACTGGGATACGGTAAAGGTTTGGTTACCTCCGAGATTTACATTCTTCTCCCACGCGGTGCAAAAACACAAAACGCAATGTCGTCAACTCGTATAACTTCGTATAATGTATTTGGTGCTATCTTAGTGGGGGGGCACGCGGCGGCGCGGCGCTGAGGAGCATGCGGCGGCGCAGTGCTGTGCTCGTCTAGCGCTCTCTCAAGCGAGAGAGCACTAGGACTGAGCCAAGGAAGAGGGCTTGGATATGAATTTCCCGGCATATCTAGGGCGGGTACTACGTTTCGAACAACGGCGGGTTGTATAGGGAAGCAGTAAGCAATATTCCCATCTTAAGTATGGATTTTGCTGCGAATTTACTTTCGCTGCGCGAGTTTACGCTCATTTCAACGTGGCCGCAGTTGGGTGCGATGACGAAGGAAGAGTTCGACGATTGGCTTGCTGATCGAGGACTGCTGTGGAAGAATCGCCCATGCCCAAACTGCGGGAATCCGAGGAAGGTCACCAAGCAGCAGTGCCCCACTGGCGGAGATGGCGAGGTGGAAGTTCGAGTGCAACCTTCGCTCGTGTAGACAGCCTGGAATAGACAGAAAGATCGGTTACCTGAAGGGCACATTTTTTGAGTCTTTACGTTGGTGATCGGAAGAAGATCTTTTTGGCGAGTTACCTGTTCGCTTATGACCTAGGCACGATCACGGAAATGGCTCGAACGCTCGAGGTGGAGGAGAACACGATCGTGCAATGGAGCCAGTGGTTTCGAGATGTGCTCGTCCAGTACTACAGTGACAACGTTGGACAGCTCGGCGGACCGAACACGATCGTGCAAGTGGACGAGACCAACATCGTGCGCCGTAAGTACAACGTAGGCCGTGTCGTTCGCAAGGATTGGATGGTCGGTGGAATCCAGGACGGAACGAAGATGGTATTCGTCGAAATCGTTGATAGGCGCGACGCCGCTACTCTGGAAAGTATTATCCAGCGGCACGTCGCTCCTGGAGGAACGATTCGGACCGATATGTGGAGCGGTTACAACAACCTCTCCAACCTCGGTTACATCCATGAGACGGTGAACCACAGCGTCAACTTTGTAGATCCAGCGACGGGAGTCCACACCCAGCGTGTTGAGGGCTTGTGGTCCATCTTGAAGGACAAAATCCGCAGACGGCACGGCCTCAAGGGGGATCTCTGGGATGACCATTTCTTCGAAGTATTATGGAAGTGGCAATACGATAGCGAGAACCTCCTCTACGAACTGTGGCGGCTCATCTCGATTCAATATCCCATTGGCTGATTTGGATTTTGACTTTGATTTTTTTGCTAACGGCCCTCTTCAGGGCCACAGAAGCAGAATTCAAACGAATACGGGCAAATGTTCTGATAGATAAATGATTTTAGGCGCAATGTGGCTCGGGGAGGCCAGTCGCGGCGTTGCGGCAACAGGAAATTCGTGAGCCAGGGGGAATGTAGCCAATTCAGGGGGTGGGGGTGAGGGCAGTCACTTAGACATGCGTGAGAAGCTGGAATGTTCCGTGAGAAGCTGGAATGTTCGAGTTACACTACATCGCTGAGCCGCGCGCGGCGACTGGCCCCCCCGAGCCACATTGCGCCCGATTTTATGATCAAGTTCTTGTATTCAAACACGCTGAATGCAAAATCACACTGTCTTCGGCACACCCCTGCCAAGGCTTAGTCCTAGTGCTCTCTCGCTTGAGAGAGCGCTAGACGAGCACAGCACTGCGCCGCCGCATGCTCCTCGCTGAGAGGAATCTATACGAGCAGAGCGCCGCGCCGCCGCGTGCCCCCCCCCCCAACTAAGATAGCACCGTTATTTGTATCAGTCATTGGTGCCGAGATTTGATAACACGAGCTTTGGACAGTTATTTGCTACATAAGGCATTTAAGTACAATTATTTATTTCGAGAGGTGAGTCCGTTCATAACTTAAGAAATGTTAAACGTTACGATGCTGCATATTATGTCGAAGCAAGAAACGATTCACCACTCAATCGAAAAGTGGTACGTTATGAAGCTTGTTAAGGATGAGCGTAAGATGCTCTATGACCAATATTTCGATTAAGAGCTCGAGCAATCACATCAAATTCATTTTTGGCAAGACATTTAAAATATTGTTGAAGATTCAGTTCTTTGTAATTAATGAGGTAAAGTTGACATGAAGAGTGGTCCTGAAACAGCGTGGTATAACTAGCGAATTAAATTACTATTCGTGATGGAAATCGGATAATCAATACTACAAAGCGAAATCATACCTGCAAGTTAGCAATTGCAAGTACTTGCTTAGTTCGATCACGGTTTCTTATAATAAGAGCCTTTGTATTTCTGCATCAAAATCCCAATCAAGTGGCTCCGAGTAACTGAGATGATATGCCTGAACAAAGTTTTCTGTCATGTATATCGAATTAGATGAAAGCTGCGCTATCTTTGTTATTTTTCAAACAAAGATAGTGCTCGTGTGCCTCGCTGTTTACTGGCTTACAGAAAGACAACGGTTAAATACTGCCTTTGCATGGATGCTTTACATAGCGGCATTGCTTTCGTAGCGTAGCCGTTTACATTCAAAAGTGTCTGAATTCAAAAAACTCTCCCATGAGCACAAGACCTCTATCACGAGTGGTATGTAGTAGCTTGAAATGTGGCGACAATGAGATAACCTCTCTGCATGACCGCAGCGGACTTTGTCGTTCTCATTACTCCCAGAATAGTGGCCACTGCTCGTAAATGGGTCCCACCTTGCCGTGGTAGGTTATACTCGGTAGAATAGGTAACTCCGGATCACCAATTGCCGTACTTAAAAAATCGAGAGTGTCCAAGCATTGCCGTTATTAAGAAATCGAGAGTGTTTAAGCTTCTAGTCAAACGGCGCTCTCCATGGTCAGCAGGAACGCTCTAGTAAAGCTATCCTGTGGGACGAAAATACTACGACCATTTCTCATGTAGGCCTTAGTCCCCTGCAGGCCGTCAGGTAGCGCTGGACTACCATATGCCAAAGGTTAAAAATGATAGGGTCATAGGCTACCAAAGGAGACGGACAAGAGCGAGCTAGACAATCGCATGTACGTACAACTGCCGAGGACATTAGATAGGCCGCTCAGGTTTCGGCACTTCTCTATGAAACGCAACGGACTAAGTGCCACGTCATTGGCTTGAGTAAAGAAAGAGCCCCTCTCGTGCACGTGGACCGATGGGACAACAGTATTTTTGGGATCTCGAAGAATCAACTCGAGCTCCCAAAAATGCTGTTGTCCCATCGGTCTGTTGCGCTGTTGGTTGTTGTGGGTGTTGTAATGGCCTAGCATGAAGTGAGCTTAGAGAGGCTTCAGCAAACTATCGCGTCCAGAGTCTTTTCAATTTTATAGTCATCACTGGCTCAATCATCACTTTTATTACTTTCGTGAACGATAGCTCGACTTTTACTTAAGGCGTAAAGGTCGGGCTCAGCCTCACCAAAGAGATTCGCTGCTTGGATGGAGGTCCCAACTATGGAACTTGCCACAACTCAGCACCCCGAAACGCCACACTAAAGCGCTGAACGCGAGCCGTCGACGTCGTACCTACCCACGGTTCGATGTCTTCTCCGTGTCAAATTGTAGAACATTGTGCTCTCCCGACCCGGTTTCCTTGCACCCTCTGCGACTCACATCATCCCTTACTTCGCTGTCGGCCTCTCACCATCAGACTTCTCCGGAGTGTAGAGCGAGTAGGTTCGTGCTTCCTGCGTTTCTTACGAAAATTTTCTTCCTCCTCTGGTATATTCGCCTTTTATATTCAAGTGGGACTACTAGGCCAGTTGATTCTGACCCTTGCCTTTGAAACCCTTGCAGAATAAAGACGGCAGATGCAAACCTCCATAGCAGCTTCAAGATTTGCAGCGATGTGATCATAGTCTGGTATAGAATTGTATTCGAGTGTATCAATATACAGTATGATGTTTGCCATATACTCTTTCGGCGTGTGTTTCAATACCTTAAAACTGCGCGGTATCAGTAAGATTATATTGTAGAGGCAATTCCACATCAATGTGTCGATAATCAACAACCTTCTTTAAATTTGATTCCAAACGAAGTTGCTGCTTAAACATCTTCACTTCTGCCCGATCAGCTCCCTTAAACACCGCGAAATATTTTATGTGATTCCCATTTCTTAGTCAGAACACACTAGTCTTCCTTGATTTTACTCCTTACTC